TAGTGAATATATGTATAACTAAAAAATTAAGAGAATAAATGCTTAAGCGTCTGTATCTAGTAGTAACCATGAAAATTTCTGGATTTGTAAATCTGTTTTTTAAGAAGGGTTGTTGAATATAAAAAACTTATTAAGTGAAATCTTGTTTTTTTAGAACGGAATTGTGTAAACTCAAAGAGTGACTGAAGTATTTAACTAACACTTGTCTTGGGTGCATGAGGCTGGGAGCAGAAAAGAATATATATATATATATATATATATATATATATATATATATATATAAGTTTGTAACCATAAACATAATAACTCAAATGACCCTTTCCAGAATGACTTTAGCGGAATAGTTAAGGGTCAGGCAACTTTCTAATCAAATGTGTTGTTTATATGTTTTTGTTTGATCCTTCGTCATTAAGATAAATCTAATCTTCATCAAAACCCCATTTCTTTTACCATAACAAAAAGCTTAACCCCATCTGAATCCCCACCACCATGCCACCTCATATTAAAGTTTGCATGAAGATATGATATGCTTCAGCTTTTCACATGTTTATTTATTTTTCCATTTTAGGTTATTATTATGACATGGTTATAATATAATATGTGTATAAAAGGGATATAGAACTACTAATTAGTAGGTAAAACTTGTACATGTAACACTGATGTATACCTGGTAAAATATGTGGTTCACACACGTAGATGGGTTAATAGTCCTCCCAAATAGATATTAGACTATTTTGGTTGAGATCAATAGACTACTTTGATGTGTATAAGATTATAAGTGAAAGTAAGTAGCATTACACTTTAGGTTAAAAGATAAAAACACACGTGATCTGAAGTCTGAACCCCAACTTTTAACTTTGTTTAGACCAATGTGTCATTAGGTTTCCAAAATCATTAGTTCTAATGGACCCTACATGTCTCTCCTTTTTCTCCTTCAAATACCCCTCTCCCTACACTTCACTTCCTCCCTTTTCCCCTCACTTCCTTCATTTCCCAGGTTTCTCTTCTTCCTTGTTTGTCATTTCATTTGAGCAAATTATATTAAGCCATGTTCTTCCACCACAAAGAAGCGGTCCAGTTTTCATTCCCTCCGGTTCTCGAAACCATGCTATCAGAAAGTGAAATACACGACTTGTTTTCCCTCATTAATCAATGGGAAGAGGACCCAGCTAGCCCAAGTTCCGTTTCGCAGGGATTAAACCGGGCGGTTTATTCGACGGAGGAGAGAAAGATGAGGCGCATGCATTCGAATCGGGAATCGGCACGACGGTCACGATGCAGAAAGAAGAGACATTTAGAGAACATCACGAAAGAAGCGAACCGCTTGAGAATTGAAAACCGGGAACTGAAAAACCGGTTATCTTCCACCATGCATCATCATCTTTTTCTATCCCTTCAGAATGAGAAGCTAAAATCCGAATCTATTGACCTTATGGCAAAACTTTTGGATCTATATCAGATTTTAGGCACCGTGCTTTCACAGTAGCAGTTGAGCAACCAGTGCTCATTATAGTCTAAAAATAGTAATAAAGCAATGAGACTATATATATATATATAAGTTTTGTTAATATCAGCTCTGACAAGTTTAAAAATGATAAATATGCATTGGGAACTAATATCATTACTTTGATATATTATAAATACCTAGTTTCTCGATACAAGATTACATTTTTTTAAACTCTTTATATTTGGGCTGTGTTTAACAAAAATCTTTTATACATTGATCGAAGTGATCACATTAATTAATATGGTACGTTATTTAGTTTACTAGCTAGCTATAGCTATATATTTATGTAGAGGGAATTAAGTCATGTGAATGAAGAAGCTAAATTAGTGAGAAAGGTTTTAGAGCCCGAGGATGGAACATGCTTACATACAAGGAAGTGGTTTCAAGAAGCCCCATGTTGTAGGAACTAGGAAGTACGATGTAGGGATATTGGGGTCTACTTTTTATCCTGTCATCACCTTTATATCTTTTGTATATTGTAAAAGATTATATTGAGTGGTAAAGTTGGCCAACATTGTAATAAGTGTTTGAGGCTAGCACGATTGGAATTTTCATGGAATATATTGTTGGTATCAAGCTAATCTCAATTTCTTGTAAAATAAGTAATTATATAAGCTATGTGACACATAAGGAATCAACTAATTTCTCCTAGAGAAAATGATTTATAGGAAATGACTTAGTTAAAAATAATTATTATATAAAAATTATAAGAATAATAAATCTGATCATAAAAGGATACATCTAATAGGCTCAACTCCACGCCCTACACCAAACAGAAAAGGAATATATGCTATGTGGTATCATAACTAGTTTAACTATCAGTATAGTGACTAGTGGTAGAACTAATGTAAAGTTGTTATCGTTAGTAGTGATAATACAAATTTAACCTGTAAATTGTGAAAATAATTAAAACTTGCATACAAAATTAACATATCTCCACTACTCAATGAGAATATTACTTTTTTTTTTAAAAAAAATTCTTTTATTTATGTGACCATATATAATTGGTTCGGAATAATAAATGAGACATTGTTAAAAATAGGTGATCTATGTCCTCTAAATAGGCCCATTAAATTTTCATGTCTTATTAGAATTGAAGAAAAAAATAGATCCTCAGCTTTAGAAAAAGTTGTCAAAACGTAAAAATGTATTATATTTATATTTTCACTAAATTATTCATTACTTTTTTTAATTATCTTTGACCTTTAAATAAAAGTAATATAAATGAATAGTAAGTAATATACTAATTATAAATGAATGTTGGTCCAAGTGGAGGGGACCCAATTAGCTAAGTATGAGGTTTATGATTTGATATCTAGATTCCTTTACTTGAAAAAAATATTAGGATAGATTTTCACTTTAAGTGTCTCACCATACCTCAAAGATTAATAGTGTTAAGTTTGAGTCCTTAAGAATGCAATTACATCTGATCAAGTGTCTTTCATAGTGATTTTATTTGACTGGATCGAGATTATTATTTATTGTTTAACTAGTGGATGATAGATGCGATTTAAAAAAACTTCTAAATGAGATTCTAAAACATAAATTGGGGAAATTCAAGTGTAAGGTCACATAATACACAATATTTTCTTTTTAATATATAAGTCGATGAAAATCAACAATGTTTTGTGAATATTTTGATATGAACATAGGAAATGTAGCGATCAGAATGATGCAATGAAACTGAGAAATTAACTAATAAGTGCTCATAACATGGCTCGAGTGCTTGCAGGAAAGAATATGCAAGTACTTCATTATGTTAGGCCAAGATCCATTGTATTTTTTACTCTTGGAGGGACTTGAGGTGCATTTCTTATAAGCTTCGATGAAAGGGTCATCGTTCTTCAAACTTTTAGTTGGAAAGGAATTAATTCTCATCAGTGAAGAAGGCTGAACTGAACATAGAACAAAAGGACCCTGTGTTGTGTCATGAACTTGAAGTTTATGTACTGTATTCTTCGATGGAGGAGGCTGTAGCACAAAATTTCTGTGCCTAATTGTGTTATTGTTGAATAGTTCAGGTGTGACTTTGGAAAACCCAGGCTTGTATTCCCATGAGAAGGGAACGTTAATTACCTTTTGTTGAAAATAAACATCATTGTAGGTGTAGTTGTCAACGTTGTACTTGGTGAAGTCCATGGTATTAATTAATTAGATGCTGTTTGCTATTTATGCAATAGATTTAAATTCTCCTCGGTAAGGGTTTTATACTTATATTTGGAGTATGGCTCCTCTCCATTACAGGAGAGGTCGGTACATAGATGGGATTATTGAAATTTCAACGGTCTAGATTTTTAAAAAGTACTGGAGAGGAATCTATTTATTATATTTGTGTCACAAGTTTCTTGATTAATATTGGATAAGATCATTCAAAGTGTAGTGAATGAGTTAGCCTATTGAGTAATTCACGCAGAGAAGACAAACTAACAAGGTATAAAACATGATAGGTGTGGTTCACGGTACTTATATGATATGAATCACGAAACCTTAGAATCTGGGCCGAACCATCAGCTGAAAAAGCAAATGTAATATCATCCTACAAATAGAATAATATAGGCAAATATTACTTTTCCCCATCTTTTGGGCATCATTTTTTTTAACTGAATGGGCAAGAAAAATGTTTTTGCAAAAAAAGATAATAATAAGTAAGTTATTAGCTTCATTTTATTTACTAACCATCTTTTAAAAATAGTACATCCACATTTCATTATAATTACATTTGCCTTCCCGATATGAGTAATAAGTATAATACATACAAACATATTAGGGTCTAATTTGTATATATGTAAAAAATGAATATAATATATATATATAATTTAACTAAAACAGATGCGCATAAGAATAATTTATTTTTACCTAATTCACTCTAAAAAAATACCAAAAACAATCAATTTTGGTCTCTTGGGCATAGTTCACACATTTGGTTGGCCTAGTTGGTAGTAGCTTGCTCCTACTCATTTCAAATGAAGAATATATTCTATGAATAATTTATATCACAAAAATATGTATTGTTTAATTTTTATGTAATGTTTTATACCAATTCCAGTTGGTAAATTACAACAAGATACTAGGGACTAAGGAGGAAATACGATAGTGAGCTTTAAATAATTTTTTGTTGAGCAATGATAATATTAGTTAGTTAAAATTATTTGTGTGTAAATTGTAGGGGGGTCACAAGGGACAAGCCCAAAGGCTTTATTATTAAAGCCCACAACCACGGAAAAGCCTATTTGGTTATTCGGATTGTGTAGAGCGGTGAGTTAGTTAGGGTTAAGGGTTGTGAGCCGCCGAAGCTTGTTAATCTCACAATTCTCAACTTTATAAATACAACCATCGTCTCTTTCCTTCACACACTCCTTATTTTCATTCTCTCTTCTTCTCCTTGTTAAATTAATTACTGATTTATAGCTTCATATTTTTTTCTTCATGGTTTTTTTGTTATTATTTTAAACTTATTTTTCAGTTAAAGATGGAGTAGTTGGGATACAAATGGTTGGTTGCGATGATTATAAGAAATTCCTCGTACTGAATGCTATTGCCATTGCATGACAGACACGTTTACACCCATAGAATATGAGCAACCTCCCTTTTCTCTCTAATTTTAATTTATCCATCAATTTTTCCAGTCTCTGCATTGTATTTTTTTTTAAATTATTGAAAACGGATTTGGATCCTTTATTTGCAGAGCATTTTGATGCAGTAATTGCTTTGCGCATATACTAAATTCGTTGGATTGATTTTGTTGCGTTTGAACCTCTGGCACTATTTCATTGATGTTAGGGTAATGCACTCTACTGCTAAGAGTCAGAACCTCTCCAAAGTAATGAATGAAATTAGGTTGTTTGGATTGTATTCATTGACAGCATTTATGACACCTAAACCAATTTGAATTAGACGTAATTCCTTTGAATGCCGAAGAGTCCTGGATAATGTAACCTTTTCAATGGAGAAATTGATAAGTTGATTGAAGCCATTGGGTTTTGCTGTTTGTCTTTGGTTTCAGTTCAAGAGTGGGAGGCAGCATTGGAATGGCATCAGAATCCTGGAATGTTCTCACAATCATCCTTGTGTTTCATAAACATCCTGCATTAAACCATGAATTCAAGTTTGAACAGATTAGGCATGTTACACAAAACAAAATTTTCATTTCTTAGCTAAAATAAATCTTTTTGACACTCCCAAGAGGCGAAGACTATCTCACTATTTTGTTCAAATCAATTTGATCTAATATGTATATACTCACGTTTTTATACGGTAATATCTATCTCATTGAAAAATAATAGTCAGTAATATATTAACTATAAAAGTTACATATTAAACATTAAGCATTTATAATATAACTATCTAACTTGCTATTTGTAAACTGATAATGAGGTGAAAAATGTTGTTACATTTTATGGAATAGAATGGGAGCAGAAGTATATGTGCAAGAGTGTGCATATTCTTTGTCACCCCGATTATATGTTGAGTTGAGTTGTATTAGCTTAGTCCCGAAAAAAAATTGGTTGTAATAAAAAAGTTCTAAGTATAAATTATTGACTGTTTATTTTGAAGAATTATTGTTCTTTTAGAAGCTGGTTATTAGCCAACATTAGTTGAATCAATTCTTTTTTTTTTGTTCTTCTCAGAATTTGGGTTGTATGTTTAAATCTCATTGGTAACATGATGTTCTTATATTGATTTATAAACCTTTAAGAGAATGGTGAACGATACAATGAAATATACAAAATCTATTAATTGAATATATTATTATTGTAAAGATTTATATACAATTATTAAATTATCTACCATTTATTTGTAATATTATTATTTTTGAAGAGTCTATAATAATTAAAAATGAATCATAAATGATATAGAGACGATATATAAAAAAATTATGATGTCAGTATATATTTTTTATTATAGTTTTAAATGTGTAATAAGATAACAATTCTATGAAGATATATATATATATATATATATATATATATATATATATATGGAGACAATCAATAAAATATTAAAATTTAGTTATAGATAGTACAAAAAATATAAATACACTGATATTTAAATATGACATGTTATACACGTCTTCGTATAAGTTTTTCTCTTCTTATAAATTGATGAAATTTCGTGGGATAAATTTTGGACCGGTAATTGGAATGGTAGATAGATAAAGGCTGTAGTAAACATTAGGTGAACAGGCCAGTGGGCTTGCTTGGGCCTAAAAAGACGGAAAAAGGATATTTGGGCGAAAGTTAAGTGTAGGATGCTCTTAACGAGTGTGAGCAGAGCGAACAAATTTGGGGATTTAGGGTTCGTGATTGAATTGGGGATTTAGGGTTTGGTTACAGTGCACACTAGAATGAACTTCAACATGGATTCTGATAAAGCGAAGCTGTTCATTGGCGGGATTTCTCGGGAAACTACCAATGATATTCTGAGAGACCACTTCTCTATGTACGGCACCGTTTCCGATTCCACGGTTTCAGTAGACCGCATCACTCGTTGCCCTAGAGGTTTTGGCTTTGTTACCTTCTCTGATCTCCCTGCAGCTGAAAAAGCTCTTCAAGACACCCATGTTATTCTTGGAAGAACGGTAATTTTAACCTGTTTTCAGTATTAGGTTTCTTCATTTATTTGAATCGAAAAGAGTAATGTAATTCAATGTTTATCTACATTTTTGAAGAAATCATGATAAAATTTTATTTCTGCTTAAGCCTATATTTTATTGTCTATTTTTATTTTGTTTGGTTGTGTATAGGTAGAAGTGAAGAAAGCAATACCGAGAAGTGAACAGCAGCACCAAAACCAAATACGCAGTAGAGGGGTGAGTAACTATAGTAGTAGTAGTAAGAATGACTTTAGCAGCAACCACATTAGGACTAAAAAGATATTTGTAGGAGGTTTATCTGCTGATATATCTGAGGAAGAGTTTAAGAGATACTTTGAGAGGTTTGGTCGGATAACAGATGTAGTGGTGATGCAGGACAGTGTAACTCACCGGCCTAGGGGGTTTGGGTTCATCACTTTTGATTCAGAAGAATCAGTTGAACATGTTGTGGCGGAAAGTTTTCATGACTTGGGTGGTAGACAGGTAGAGGTCAAAAGAGCGGTGCCAAAAGAGGGGAACCATGTTGGTGATGGTTTTAACAAATCTAGATATGATAAGAGTGAAAGAGGAACCTCTCAAAGTTATTCTCCTCATGGTCCTAGGTACATGTCACCTGGCTTTGCACCTCTGCCTTATTATGGCGGTGGTGGGGTTTATACTTATGGTTCAAACCCATATGGTTATTGCTACACTACGGGTGAGTATGGGGGGAATGTGTATGCAATTCTGTCTGATGCTTCTAGTAACTTCTGGTATGGGCCCATGATAGCTGGTCCTCAGCCATGTCAGATTCCTTATGCCAATGCCTCACCAAATGTTGTGTATGCTGGTGCTAGGGTTGGAATAGTAGAGTGTGGTCCTGGAACCAGGGGGTACAATGGCCTTCTTGGTTCTGCAACAAACTGGAAATTTGGTCCTGGCAATGGATTTGGTCCTGACTACATGATACCACATCAAAGGGAGAAGCGCAGTGTTGATTACTCAAGGTTGAAGAGAAACAATGGAGAAATTTCTAGTTAACAGATTGAAAGGGTATTAGGGCCCCAATTCCGGCAGGTAAATACTCACTGGCTGCTTCTTCTGGGTTGTGAAAGGTTGGTATATTCTTTGCTAGATGTTGTAAAAGCTAGTCACTTGCTTTTACTCCGTAGTATAAATCTGTGAAGATACGTTCATGTGTCATCAATATGTAGTGTTACAAACAGCCAAGATTAGCTATGGGGTTCTATTAGTGTAGGAGATTCAGGCTTCTGTAAATTAACCTTTCTTTCCTGATAAAAATTTTCTATTTCTATGCTGGGCTTTTAGCAAGTGTGAATGCTTATCACTTAATCATAGATGCAATTTGTGCACGAGTGTGTATAACTGCTTGGACTTCTTCCTTGACCTTTTTTTGAAGAAAAAAAGAATTCTGTAATTCCAACATGTCAATATTTATGTATTATCAGTATCAAAGTTTATACACAATCAGTAAGTACATCACTCACCATTCATTTGTTAGTGCATACATTTTTTATATAATTAAATAATAAAAGGTTTACTTAGATATCTGCTTCTATTACTTGACTGCATCATCTTAAGGCCCAAGCGATGACGGCATGATATATATTTCGGTCAAATAATTTGGGTTATGCATTCAATTTAATAGTTTGGTAGCTCATGCTTAATTGATTATAAAGTGTAGGAACTAGAAAGATATCAAGTTTTGTCATGCAACCAAATGACATATAGGCACGTTAATTTGGATCTCGTTGGGCGTTCAAATGCAACTGGGCTTTCCAATGCCATACTTTAAAATCGCTTTGATCGCACTTCACCTTACAAATATAAGCCAGTTAATAAAATGAAAGTTGAAATATTAGGGTGATCCGTCATAAGAAAAATCATTTTTTATGGGAATCATGAATATATTTATTTCTGGTGGAGTTGATCAATTTTAATTTTTAACACATTTTTCAACAGCAATCTGAATATCTTTTACCGGATTCTCTTCAAATTAACTTTCTTTTTAAAATCAAAATGCATAGTGTGCTTATAAAAATACCTGTTGGAGTTTGGAGACAAATGTTAGTATATAATATTTATGTATTGCGAGTAGAAAGACATATATACAATCAATATGTTATTTAGCATTTGTATTAGTTTTTTGAAGAGTAAAGAATATTTAAACATGTATGATAAATGATATAGTGACAATTTATTAAATTTACACATGTTCATTACATATATTATTTTCTCTATTAATTAATGTTATTAGTTTATTATCGGATGAAATTTAAACTATCCTTGTCTTTATCACTCTCCCCCTTAACTCTAACTTAGTCACTTAAACACGACTTACAATAGTCATCATAAACTATATTACCCTTAAACTTTATTTCTTGCAAAAATTAGCCCTTAGCATTAAAATAATCTTGAATTAATAGGAAAAAATTATAACTCATGTATTTTGTTTTAATTGTTAAATCATTATTATGTATTAACTACTTTTAATTCTAGAATTTAAATATCTTGTTTTTCTCAATTTTTATTTTAACGGCAATTCCTTCTAGATATTAATATCAACTAACTTGCATTATTGTATTGTCATCGTTGTGAGTTTGATTGCAACAATTTCTTTGTTTATATATTATTAATTTAACAAAAACCAATTTTAAGAAGTGAAAAAGTTTAAATTTAGTTGATTATAATAGTTAAAAAATCATATAAAGTTCACATGGGTTTTATGCCCTTTTATGTGTTACAGATAGTGGTGATATTCTGAATTATGTGCCTAGACTTCCAACTTGGTAGATGTTGTCAATTTTTGTTCCAAAAAACTATTGGTAGATGTTGCCAATTTTTATTCCGAAAAGCTATCACTGTTTATTCAAATCTGAGTAAATAAAAAAATGATATATTCCATTACATCACATGAGAAAATTATATGTGATAAAGAGATATTTTATTTTTAATGATTGTAATGGAATATAAATATACTAAACATGCTC